AGGCGTCATCTGCCCAAGTGCAGTAAACCAAAGGCACGAAATTCATGTGTGTTTTTAAAAGACTTAGTCTAAAAATATTGTGTACACTTTCATTAGTATGCCAATTTTCATGCAAAATACAGTTTTTGAGAGTAATTTTGAACAGTATCTTCCAGATACTGAAAATTTCCATTTGGACTAGTGTGTGAAGACCACAGTTCAGATTAATTTTGTCTTTAGCAGCCCCTCACTTGGGGTTGGTAGGAGTAGCCAGCCGTGAGTGCAGTGTGGCCATATCACACCCGCAGTGAATACCTCGGGATTGAAGAGTGAAGGCTTGACTGTTTAAAAAGTACTGTAACAGAAGAAAAGACCAAATTCAAATGTGAAATTATCATAGAACCTGTAAAATCCTAAATCACATTCATGTGCCCAGCTCCCATTGGATTTTAGGAAAATCATGGAGGGTTGCTTAGGTTGAATATCTGCTTAAACTTGTAACACTAAATAGAGCTGAAGGCCTAATAAACTGATGATACATTTTAACCAGGATAACTGTTTCAACTCTTAAAACGTTAAAATTGAAACATGCTTAACAAATAGGAGAGCATATATTTAAAAATGCATTTAAAGACCTGAGCCTCTTTTGTTAAAGTGTTTTAAGAGCTAATACCGCTTAATTATTCTTTATGCTGCTCTTCACCTAGAAACCCACGTGATTTTCAGCCTCTGTGTAATATGTTTGAAAACCCTTTCTGCTTATTAAGAAGTGACTTGAGGAATTCAGACCTGTAAAGACAGTTTCCGCCTCATTCATATTAATAAGCACGTTGCCTAATTCAGTCTCGTAAGACACTTAGAACTTTTAACAGAAAACACTCAGATGGAGTAGGAATGATTATTTCTTCTGCTTGCTCTCTCAAGGTCTTTTATTTTACATTCTTCTAAAGTTTACCTTTAGATATTCTCTTGATATTTAACATTTTGTGATTTAACAGATTTGGCAACTTCTAAAAAGTTATTTTTTGTTCGAATTGAATAGTGCAGAAAATTACCAGAGAGACATTTTTCAGGAACCCATAGGCATCTGTTATTTAGAGTAGAGGACTAGTCAGAAAGAGAAAGACAAATACCATGTGATATCACTTACATGTGGAATCTAAAATATGACACAAATGAACTTTTACGAAACAGGAACAGACTCACAGACATAGAGATGAGACTTGCGGTTGCCAAGGGCGAGGGGGAACAGGGGAGAGAAGGATTGTGAGCTTGGGGTTAGCAGTTGAAACTGTTGTGTATAGAATGGATAAACGACAAGGTCCTACTGTAGAGCACAGGGAACTATCTTCAACATCCTGTGATGAAACGTAATGGAAAAGAATATAAAAAAGAATGTGTGTGTGTGTGTGTGTGTGTGTACATATATATGTATAACTGAATCACTTTGCTGTACAGCAGAAATTAACATTGTAAATCAACATACTTCTATAAAATAAAATTTTTTTAAAAAGAGTAGAGGACTAGTTACCAGTATCATCTATTGGTTAAATGTTACTCAGTTGGTCCAGCCCATTGTTTGTTTTCGTATGGCCCATAAACTAAGAATGATTTTTATGTTTTTAAAGGGTTGAACAAAAATCAAAAGGATAATATTTCATGACATGTTAAAATATATGAAATTCAAATTTCAGTGCCAGTAACTAAAGGTTTATTAGAACATAGCCAATGCTGTGTTCACACATCATCTAAGGCTGCTTTCAGGCTACAGCGAGAGAATGGAGACTGTGGCCTGTAGAGCTTAAAGTTTTTGCTGTCCAGCCCTTTACAGAAAAAGTGCCTGCCCCGGATTGGTGATCCCAGTCATTCCTTTCCACCCAGTTTTTGTGCACCATACGATTGCAGAGCCACTTGCAAGGTTTTAAATATGAGCAGAGCAGAATTAGCATGTTAAACTACGGGTAAAGAAAGGAGGAATGAATGTGCGTACGTAGGAAAGGAGATGGGAAGGAAAACATTTGGAGGTAGGAGAGGGAAGTGGGCGGTTCTGCTGTCCTGTACCAGGGTCAGGTATTAACGGACCTTTTTGCTTTAGAGGAACGTAAACACTATTAAACTGAATGTTACATTCAGTCCTTAGTAACTGAGAAATAATATAGTTGAAAACTTCTGTAGTTTCACCAGAAGTGGAGAAGGGATACTGTATGTTCCTGTTTCTAATACTACTACTGTAGGGATAGTGCCAAAATTATAATCTCCCAGTTAATTTTTCCAGTTACCTTACATCCCAGATTCTGATATCTGTCCATACATTTTCTGGAATGTTTTGAACTCCCCTTTGGATCACTCTTTGGATCCCTCAGAGTTATATGAGGAACCAGTTGAATTTCAGTTCGGCTTGTGATTGTTCTTACTTGCTTGGTCCACACATGAGGAGTACATAGCATGAGTTGACTCTAGTGACTGTTCTTTCGAGTTTTGAAGATAATACTTCACACCACCTGGAAATCTGATTGGCTTCGTCCAAGCCGAGTGATGTGCAAGTGTTGGGACCACTCGTGGTAGTGGGAGATGGGCAGGAGACGCTGCCTGTGTTCTCAGGTGCAGGCAGGCGCTCCCACTCAGACATGTACAGTCTCCGTGGTCTCCGGATATTGGCGCGCACTTGCTCTTTCTCTTTAAGGCTGTATTTCCTTGGAAGAACAGTAAACTTGCTATTCTAACTCAGATTCAGTCTACTGTTCAGTTTCTGAATTAAGAGTAAAGGAATTGAGTGTAGTTTGGATGTTCTTGTTTTCAGTGACTTAGAAAAGTTGGCATGCTCCCTGAGCATCTCAGCTTTCTTCAGTGAACTGGCATTTAGGGTGGTAAATGCCATTTAAAAAATCTGTGTGCTGTTCTTTATTTTATCATCCACTGAGGAGTAATCTTTACTGTCAGCGTTATTTGTCCTGACTTTAAGCAGCAGCTTCTCATTTCTGTACTCTTTAATTTTTGGAGAGCAGGCTCATATTTATCTATAGAAATGATCATTTTTTAAACTTTGCTTACATTCTGGGTCTTTGTCTTTTCAAATTGTGTAGAGTTAATTTTTTTTTTTAAATTTTATTGCGGCTACTTATTCTGTTCACATTCTTGATAGAGTAGACCTTTTTGGACCATTCACTCATGATATCGTCTGAAAATGAAATATACCATTTAAAAAAATTACCCAGTTTTACACTTGCTTGAATGTTAAATTTCTATAATATGTTGATATTAAAAATCAAGTATGTGATCATTTTCTATACACATAACTAATGTAACTCACTCTACCCAAACTTTGATATTTTCTCTCTATTTAATTCATATATCAAAATATTGTGAAATTTTAGAATAATGTTTATCAGAAATCATAGCCATGAAATCAAATAAAAATGTCAGTTTTAGTTCCCAGTAGCCCTGCACACAGCTGCCTTATATTTTTAAGAAAATATTGTTGGTTTTGGGGATTTTCAAGTCTTGTCTCTTTTATATTTGGTAAGATTGAGTTTGGGCTTTTGCCTTTCTTCAAAATGTATGATACATTTCTTTATCTCATGCTTTTAAAAGTGGAAACATATTTAGTGATTGTCCAAAAGTATATAGATTTTTCATTTCTGAGTTTGGAACCTTCTGCGTATGATGGCTGGAAATAGGAATACAGGGCTTATTGTTATGTTTAAAATGGAAAATCCTTGTTTGTCCCTGATTCTGTAGTTTTCTCCCTGAAATGGCTTTTTTTTCATTCACGTTAATCTAGGGAAAAAGCATCCAGGGTTGTGCCCTGTTCTTTCGGGAACAAGACGAGGCCTGTGTTTGGTCACAGCTGCACTGTCTGTGGCAGAGCTCGCTGGGAGGTGTGGTACTGCCTCGGCCCTTCAGTGCTTCTCCAGTTTCAGTGGGTCAGCGTGCAGCTAACAACCTGTCTTGCTTTTTTACAGATTTATTTCACAGAGCAGTGTATTTTCTTGTCTTCCAGGGGAACTTCAACGTGGAGTTGCTTTTGTTCCCTCAGTTTTTATTGTTTCCTAATTAAGATTTACAATTTCAACTGGTTCTTTCGTATTCATCTTATTTAGAGCTTTCATTTATATTCTGCCACCACTTCCGATTTAGTCTGACTCTTAGCTAATGCAGAGGACATCGGACCTTTACTTGTTAATGTTATTAGCCACGTAGGATGATGTTGATTCTTTTTGATGGTAGGACTCAGCCTAGGGGGATGAGTTCCTAGGACAGTATTAGAAGGAAACACCCACTCAAATGCTCTGAACTTCTGCAAGTTTTCCTAAGGCCAAAAAACAAAACACAAAAAACTCAGCTTTTCAGATCTCCAGTCTGATGATAAATTAGTCTCAGGACATCCTTCTAAACTTCCACTTATAGTGTCACATGTTAGCACAAATTCTGGCTTGTCGTTAAGCCAGTTGCCTTTGTTGTTAGGAAGCCAACTGTTATAAATGCCATGGACAATTCAGTACATGTTTGTTTGTTATGATTTTACTCGAGCTAAAGGAATGGATGATTAAAATTAAGTGCAGATGATATAGAATTCAGTTTCAGGTTAAGTCTGAAGTTAGCATAAATTTATATTCTTCAGACTAACATAAAAAATGATTTTGAGAAGTTAAATAGGAAGATGCCTTTTTTTTAAAGTTTCGTGTATTGATTTTTAAATGACTATCTCCCAAATCTTGCTTAGTAATCAAATGTGCATAAGAGAGAAGTTAGTTACAGAGCTAGGATGAGTAACTCCTTCTTTAATTCAGACTTGCTGTAAATCTGTATGCTCTTTCATATCACCTGCAGATAGTTAGTCAGTTCAGCAG